GGTTATCATTGCCTTGGTGTCTGCAATACCATGGGGTCAACACCTTGGAAGTTTAGATGAAGACACGGGAAGCAGCAACTGGCTGAGGGAACCGCAGGCCACCAGTCTCAGTGTGTCAGCAGCAGGCTTGGGATTTTGCTGAGCAAGGGGGTGGAGATGCATCAGAAAGCATGAGGCCTGGTTCCAGAGGGAAGAGGGTGACTAAGGAGCGTCCTTCCGCAGCTTCCCTGGGTAAGGCCCTGCTGTCCGGGTACATGACTGATGATGGGGATGGCTGGGAAACTTGGCCATCAAGTCGGGGGTTCTGGTTTCCCTACCTTGAGAGCTTGCCACCCTGGTGGAGATACTTAGCCTAACTGGCCTAGAGACAATAGACCCTCTGCAGGGCCAGTGAGCCTGGCCTCAGGGGAAAATGCATTTGCCTTAAAGCTGCCTCATGGAGTCAGGTTTGCAAGTGTAAGCATCTGGGCCCAGATACCAACTGTTTAACAAACCTTTTGGACTAATGTGAATTACCACCCTTTCCTCAGGACTGGGGAGATCCAGTCTTGGCTGTGAGCACAGCACCATTTAACCCATGGGCATAGTGAACGGCTTTTAAAAGAAGATACGAGTCTGGTTCCTTCTGCAGTCACATGGCTGGGCTTCCTCCTGCCTCTCACCCAGTGCTTGGAGGAGGATGAACAGCATGGGAACAAGGCATAGCACACAAATATGGTTCCTACCAGGAGGCAGCAGGTCTAATTTGGCTAACTGTCATAAACATGGGCCAAGGCAAGTGGCATTTGTGGGGAGAATGCCTGAGGGAGGTAGCCAATGTCAGGAAGAGGGTGAGCACTGGGAAGCTTTCCGTCCCTGTGCAGGGTGGACCCAAGGACAAGAGATGCAAGGGTAGAGGCCTCATTGTGTTTGTGCTGGTATAAAAGAGGCCACAGGAAGGTTTAGCGGATACGGTATGAGACTGTGACGTGGGTCAGAGGGGACATCAGGCTATGATGAGGGAAGGACATGTTTACGGGGTGACAGAAGGCACGAATAAAGCCTTCAGAGACACAGGAAAAGGCCTAGAAGGAAGGGCAGTTAGAGGGATGGGAGGGTCAGGCCTGGAGAGAGTGGAGGGTTTGTAACGGAGAAGCAGTGAGGGAGCAGAGGTGGGGGGTGGCGAGCTGGGAGGCCTCTGCTACCTTCACCCTTGCTAGTACCTTGCAATTGGGCAGAAAGGCGTCTGCGCCACAGGCCTACTGGGTCCAGTCTGGCTCCACTGCACGACTTTAGCCAAGGCCTTGAATTTCTCACATCTAAGCTAGGGCTGTTACCTCAGAAGTTCTGTGTAGCGGGTGGGTGACCATGTACACCAGGATGTGTCAGTTATGAGTATAGCTGCTGAGGCTGTTGAACCTCAGGCAAACCCTAACGTTTCACTTTCTCTTATTCGATACTGAGAGCTAAGGTTTTCTAGTTAGGAAATGGGTGTGGTAAGCTAGACCCAAAGGGAAGCCTTGGAGAGGGAAAAGCTGGATGGTCCTGGGCCTGAAGCCTGCAGAAGGGAAGGGATGGAAATGAGACCCAGCGAATGACATCCCTCTGGCGACAGCCAAGGCCGGTGTGGCTGGTGCTTGCCAGGCTGCATGATCCAGACACCCTCAGGTGGCCTCTCAGAGAGGGCAGGGTTAGAGCTGTGGGGATGGCCTCTCCTGACGGGACTGGCTGATTTGGAACAGCGAGTGTCTTAGTTAGGGTTTCTATCACTATGATAAACACCATGACCACAAGCAACCTGAGGAGGAAACAGTGTATTTCATCTTACAACCAAGGTCACACCCCATCTCTGAGAGAATTTATTACAGGAACTCAAGGCAGGAACCTGCAGCAGAAACCACGGATGAGCGCTGCTTACATTTTTGCTCCCCATGACTTACTCAGCTTGCTTTCTGATACAGCCTGGGACGCCCCTTACTTCCAGTGGCACTATCCCCCCGCCCCCATCAATCACTAATCAAGACAATACAGATTTGTCTATAGGCCAATCTTACAGAGGCATTTTCTCAGTTACGGTCCCCTCTTTTCAGGTGTGACTAGGTTTATGTCAAGTTGTCAAAAACCCAGCAGCTCCGGCGGTGAACTTGGAAGAAATCCTGATGAGAAGCAATTAATTGCCAAGTGTGGCAGCACACGCCTTTAATCCCAGCTCTCGGGAGGCAGAGGCAGGGGGATCTCTGTGAGTGCAAGGCCAGCCTGGTCTATATAGCAAGTTCCAGGACAGACAAGACTACTCAGAGAAACCTTGTCTAGGGGAGAGAGAGGGAGGGAGGGAGGGGGAGAGGGGGACAATTAATCATGGAACCTTGAAGAATTCCCTCCCAGGATACAGAGAGCAATTCTCCAAGACTTCCGGACCTACAGAGGTAGGTGAGAGTCATAGAAAGACCATGGGCCTCAGAACCCTCAGCACTGAGGGCAGCCACAGTGTCGGCTACTTGTCTCTGTCACATGAACTTCAGAGTGAGACCAGGAACTACAATGAGAAATCACATTCGACTGGTGTGGAAGTCCAAGCAGAAAGTCCTGGAACTTTCTGTCTCTGAAGCATTCCTGTCTCTTCAGTCTTAAATGTCATTCTTGGTATTGGCCTGTGTGGTGGTCTGAATAAGAATGGCCCTCATAGGCTCATAGATTTGAATGTCTGGTCATCAAGTAGTAGCACTATTTGAAAGGATTAGGAGGTGTGACCTTGGTGGAGAAAGTGTGTCACTGGGGGGTGGGCGTTGGGGTTTCAAAAAGCCCATTCCAAGCCCAGTGTCTATCTCTTCCTGCTGCCTGCACATCTGGATGAAGAACTCTCAGCGGCTTCTCCAGCACCATGTCTTGCCTGTATGCCACTATACTCCTCACCATGATGACAATGGATGTAACCACTGAAATGGTAAGCAAGCCCCAATTAAATGCTTTCTGTTGTAAGAGTAGCCTTGGCCACGGCGCTTCTTCACAGCCACAGAACAGTGACTAACACAGCCTGTCCTCAGGGTTTGTATGCCAGGTAACACTTAGCACGGCAGAGAAAGGAATGGAGACAAGGTGAGAAGGGTCTGGTTATTTCCCATACAGACTTCTGCCTCAGCAAGCAGGAATCTGCCTGTCCCCTTCTCATCCGCAGGAATCAGGGCCCACAGGACTGAGCTTTTCCGGGATCTAGGAGGGGAAGGAAATGGAGCTTGACAGCGTCACAGTTCCTTTGGCTACTCTGTATCTCCTGACAGAAAAACGTAGTTTCTCTCCTGCCGTGGTGAGGTAAGAAAGTATCAAGTTTTCATCCCTGTGGAAAAAAATTCAGCCTTGGTTTAGGACCTTGGCTGTTTCTCCTTTGCTCTGTGACTGACTTCTCCACACCCCGGCTGCTTCACTGGTGAAAGCAGGACACTGGCAGACCTAGAAGAACATTCCAGCTTGTTTCAGAGACAGCCCGACTGTCTTGCTGCTACGGAACAAGCAACAGTGTCCTTGGAGAGGACACCAACTTCGGTTCATCCCCTCTTCTCCAGCAGGGGCTCACGTGGTCCATCCAGGCTGGTCTTGAATCCCTTGTAGCTGAGGGTGGCCTCGATCTTCTGCTCTTCCGTCTCTGCTGCTGAGTACTGGGATCACAGGCTTGCCTCATTTTTCTTTTATTTTAGAGAAGCTGTCTTGTTCTGTGGCATAAACCACCCCCCAAACTTTCCATCTTCCTGCTTCAGACCCCAGAGTGGCTGGGATTATGGGTACATCATCCATGCCTGGGTTTACATATGATGATTCAGAAATCATTTAGGTCTGTGTCTTCTCAGTATGGGAACTGGTGGTGAGTCAGGCTTAGTCTTGCATAAAGTTCATCTCTGCAGAATGAAGACTGCAGACAGGGATTGCAGAAGCATAGCCCTGAGATCAGACAACACTGGTAGAAAGGGATTGCAGAAACATAGCCCCGAGACCAGGCAACAATGGCTCCCAGTCTCAGTGCTGTCCTCATCCGAAACGTCTGGCACATTAGTAAGAACCCCCTTGGCACCTCCTAACCCCTCTTACCTTTTTAAATCTGCACTCAGAAGTTTGGTGTTTTCGTGGTAATGTGAGGGTGATGATAGACTCCTGGCAGTGGCACAATGAAGATTATCAGACAGTCTAGCTGATGAGTGCCTGACACATATGGGCTCTCAAGAAGTGGCATCACCAGGTCTCAGAATAAAAATGTTGGACCTCCACGATGGAGCTACTCCCCATACCCCGCCCCCTAAAGCCTTAGCAGGGCAGCCCCATCAGAACCCACAGAACTGGCTTTGAAAGACCCAGGGCAAACAACCAGCCTCAAGGCTAGACTGAATGGAGCAAGATGGTAACTCCTGAGTTTGTAAAAAAAAAAATCAGGGAACAGATACCATAACAGGCCCTACTCTTTTTTCCAGCAGTTGTAGTCTTGGGTTTCTGGGGCTCCTTTCGGGACCTGGGGGATGCGGGTTGTGGTACAGTTGAGGATGGCCCTATGCAAGTTTGAGACTTGGGTGTTCTGGCTCTCCAGCCAGGGTCTGTAGGAGTCACTCCTTTTGGACCAAACAAGGACACTCTGGCAGACGGAAACCATCAGCACGCACAGGACCAATGCTAGCTTCTTAATCAGTCCAGGAGCACAGAGCCCAGCCAGCACATTCTGCTCTCATTTAATTATCAAAACGATTCCTCTTCTGTCCTCCCCGGGGCTGCATGCCCCAGATTCCCCGGGCCCAGTAATTGCCTCCCTGTTAATAGAAATCATCAGTATTTATTACACTGAGTGTGCCAGCTTCTTCCAGCTCTCCTTGCAGCAACATTAAGGGGAGTGCTTGGGAGCACATCACTCAAGCGAGGCTACTTAATGATAAGAGTGAAGACTCCTGAATTGCTCTCTGCCTCGGAGGACCGAGGAAACATGGCCGGGCCTAATAAAAGGATCCAAAGGTCATGCGTGGAGTCTACAGTGGGGCCCTGACTTGATCCGGATGAGCAGGAGGCCCAGGTCTGGGAATGTGGGGAAAAAAATCCAGTTAGGTAGCTGCCCTTCCCCTTTCTCCAGAGTAAGTCTCTCGGGCATCACTCCTATACAGCTACACAGCAATGGGAATGGTCTGAGTTCAAATTTTTGCTCTGCCTCTCAGGGCCTTGTGGACTTTGGCTTTCAAGGACACCAACTTTCTTTCTTTTCCTTTTTCTTTCTTCCTTTCTTTTCTTTTTTTTTCTTTTTTTTTTTTGAGACAGGACTTCTCTGTGTAATAGCTCTGGCTATCCTAGAACTCACTTTGTAGACCACCAGGTTGGCCTCGGACTCACAGGGATCCGCCTACCTCTGCCTCCTGAGTGCTGAGTGCTGGGATTAAAGGCATGTGCCACCACCGCCTGGCTGCATCAACTTTCTTTTCTTCTTCTTCTTTTTTAAAATAACTTATTCATTTTTATTTTATTTGCATTGGTGTTTAGCCTGCACGTATGTATGTGTGAGGGTTTCAGACCTTGATATTACAGACAGTTGTGAGCTGCCACGTGGGTGCTGGGAACCACCTAGGTCCTCTGTAAGTGCAGTCAGCCATCTCTCCAGCCCCTGCATCAACTTTCTTATCTTTAAAACAGGGAGATTAGCACCTACCTACTGAAGAGTCGGTGAAACCCACCCTGAAAGAACCCACTAGCTCTAAACGGGAAGTGGGCTATGCTTATTCTCTCCTCCCTCAGGTCTAGGAGTTGAGAAGTTATGTATGACACACGGGATTGGGCCACACGCAGAGGACCGAGGCTGGCTCCTTCTTGCAGCCTCTTCAGACTCTGGGTGCCCATGATGGACAAACTCGTCTAAGCCAAGACTGAGTCAGGAGTTCATGGTCCTGAAGTGCACATGAATTTATGAATTTAGTCTGGACACCAGTCTGGCTGTCACTGTCCATGGCTGCCAGACCATGGCTTCTGTGGGCAATAACAAAACTACCCACCTTACGTCAGCTGTCATGCTCAGGGGCACTGCTTGCCTACCTCTGAGTGCTGTGAATCTTACCTTAACCTGTCTCACGTGAGGCCTCAAGGGGACTGGACTCTAACACTGAGGTGATCTGACATTTTCTAATGACCACACCTTTAGCGCTCTCGCGCTCTCTCTCTCTCTCTCTCTCTCTCTCTCTCTCTCTCTCTCTCGTGTGTGTGTGTGTGCGTGCATGTCCCTCTCACCCCGTGTGTGAACTTCAGAGCCTTTTTTTGTGCACAGGGAAGATTGCAGTTCTGCAACAGCTGTGTTTGTTTGTCAGGTCTTAGGATGACCTACCAGCCCAAGGACAAGTTCCTGCACACCCATTGCTTTCTTACTCATGGATGCGAAGAGTTGGGGTCAGAATCCAGCAAGGCCCCAACAGCTGACAAGGACTGGAGCTTAAAGCCAGATGTCCCCCAAACACTTCTCTCCTATGAGGCCCCCTGCTGCCTGTTTGGCTTCATTGCTTGATTACAATTGATAGAATTGCTAAATGATTTTCTTTTTTTTTCCAGAGATGATGTCACCGTGTAGTCTTGACTGATCTGGAACTCACTAGGGAAACCACACTGGCTTCAAACTCGCTGAGATTCACCTGCTTTTTTCTCCTGAGTACTGGGATTAAAGGTGTGAGCCACAGGTTTGGCTAAATGTGTAGCCCAGGCTGGCCTCAAACTACTGATCCTTCTGTCTCTGCATCTTCAGCATGTCCTATCAGTGTGTGCCATCCTGAGCAACCTCAACTACTTCTGTTCTCACAGGACACATTTAGGAAGCTGTGCTAATTCTTATATCACCTATAAAGTCTGTAGAAGTGTGTGGCTGTGCCCCCTGACTCCTGGCCCTGTCTGGCAGTAAGCTGCACAGGGGACAGGGAATTAGGTGGGGGAGGAGGTTTGCGTTCCAGAATGTCCTCCAGGTTTTTATTATGTCATAGACAAAATAAAATCACCTCACCAGAGCCTCACCCCTGTGCCCTTCGTTTTCATTGTTTGTTATATACTGGATTGCATCAGTTCCTACAAATCCAGATGTTGAAGTCCTAGCTCCAAGCACTGGGAATGTGACCGTCTTTGGACATAAGGTCTTTATAGAAATTAAAATTACGCCAAGGCTCTGAGATTGAGCCCAACTCCAGTTTAACTGGTGTCCTTACACAAGGGCACTTAGTATTCAGGCATCTGAACTGGCCTGCCCTTGGGGTCCTGACAGGATGTGTCCTCAGCTGTAGTCACTAAGAGCACCCTTCCTCCCATCTCTCTCTCTGTCTCTCTGTCTCTCTCTCTGCCTGTCTCTCTGTCTCTTCCCCCCCTTTCTGTCTGTCTCTGTCTGTCCCTTTCTTTCTCTGCTTGTATCTCTGTCTCTTCCTCTTCTCTCTCTGCCTCTCTCTTCTTTTCTGCTGTTCCTGTCCACAGAGGCTGGTCTCCCTCCTCCACGTGAACTCTGTCGAATTGCATCGTTCTCTCTCATGCCGTCTATTTATTTATTTATTTATTCATATTATAACAGCAGAGGGGAGATAATGGGCAGACCCAAGGTGAAGGAGGATGGCCATCATCAAGTTGAGAAGCGTTGGAGCAGATCCTTCTCTTAGGGGCCTCAGAAGGAACCAGCCCCATCAGCACCATGGGGTCACCCTCCCAGCCTCCTCCCACATGGTGGAAGCCACGCTGCAGCCCCAGGAAAGGAACACATCAACTCTTTCGTTACAGTTCCCCTTCATCTACTAGGGAGAAGATGCCGTTCTTGTTCTGCTCTCAGTTTTAGAGCCGCTGATACTACAGCCTCTCCAGTAACAGAAATGGGACATAAATGAGGCAGAACAGAGGCAGTGGCTGACCAGCATGGCAAAGCAACAGGGGCGTGAGCTGTAGTGGGAGGAAGTGGCCAGAGCCAGGGCATGCTGTGGGTCTCGCTGCTTGCGGGGTGAGCTCACCAACTCATCTCTGAAATGCCAGGAGCGCGTGGCAATTACAAGGGTTTCCAGGCACAGCATCCCTGGTGCGGTCCGGCTTCACCCTCCCATGTGCATAATGGAATCAGATGCGATTCTCTTGCAGTCCCATGTGGTGACTTGTGCCACTCTAGTGGATAGAACCCACTCTTGGAAAGAAACTAGATTATGGGTCAGTAAAGGGTGGACAGTTGCTGAGTAATTGCTGATTGTTCCCTGTGGGGAGCTCTCCACATGTCCCCTTGATTCATTTCCACCAAATTACCCACAGCTGCCAAAGCTGGGCACTGGGTTTGGCTTTGTTATTTAGATTGCCTTTGCCTGGGATCCTCTAACAGTGATGTGGTAGTGACGGATCCAGGGGAGGTCTCGACATGGCATGGCAGAGACACTCCTGTACACCGAAGGGCTGTGGATACAAGCACCCCATGCCTTGGTAGGGGAGGCATAGCTGATGAAGTCCCTCTTGGGGGAGTCTTACCTTACACGGGTGAGGGTCCACTCCATAGGTCTCTAATGTCTGTGCCTTTCTCAAGAAATTCAGCTCTGATGTTGCTGGTGTTTGACCACTGGAATGAGAAGGAGATGATCTCAGGGCTCCCGTCCCACAGGTTCTCTAGGTGTGAACTCCTTGTTTGGAAGTGGCTAGCTGGACAGGGCCCCGCTTTCTGGTGGAGCAGCCACAGCACCCTAGAAGCTCAGTGTGTTTATTTGTAGTCAGAAGGCTGCTTGTTGGTTCCTGGCTGCTTAGCCCCGAAATAATCACACAGAAACTGTATTAATTAAATCACTGCTTGGCCCATTAGCTCTAGCTTCTTATTGGCTAACTCTTACATCTTAATTTAACCCATTTCTATTAATCTGTGTATTGCCACGAGGCTGTGGCTTACCAGGAAAAGTTCCGATGTCTATCTCCAGCAGGGCTACCTGGCTTCTCCCTGACTCCACCTTCTTCCACCCAGCATTCAGTTTAGTTTTCCCTGCCTAGCTAAGTTCTGCCCTGCTATAAGTCCAAAAAAGTTTCTTTATTCATTAATGGTCATCACAGCATACAGAGAGAAATCCCACATCATTTATTATATGCAGTTGAACGGTCACATACAGCTGAACTGAGGAATCAGGTTTAGCCTATCTTGCTAGGAGCATTCTCTGTAGGAGAGCCATCTTCAGGCTGTTCATGTCTAGGGGAAGAAAGCTATGGCGGACATTTTCTATGCACACTGTCAACATTTTCACTTGGACCTTGAGGGAGGCGTTGCCATCTCTTCAAACCTCGGCTTGGATGGGGGATGGCTTTGCTACTCTCCTGGGGAGGAGGCATTAAAAAAAAAAGATGTGATCAGGGGCTACACACTTCTACTTTGCCATAGTATTCTCTTGCTTGCTTTTAGAACCAACTTTAGAGATTCAAGTCTAAGGTTAAAACTCAGAGTGGGGCTGAAAGGATGACTCAGTGGGTAAGAGCACTGGTTGCTATTCCAGAGGATCTGGGTTTGATCCCCAGTACTCACATGGCGGCTCACAACCTTCAATAACTCCAGCCCTCGGGATCTAATGCTCTCCTCTGGCTTCAAGAGTGCCCTGCACACACATGGTGCATAGACAGAACATCCATATGCCAAATAAAAATAAAAACTTAAAAAAAAACCCAAAACTCAAAGTGAAACAGGCTACATAGTGGGTCAAGTGGGCTCAGAGTGAAGAGCAGGAAGCGGTAGGAATGGCGCTGAGATTGTGGTCTTCCTGAAAACCATGCGAAGCCAGACATGGTAGTGTGTGGTATCTGTAACCTCAGCACTTGGAGGTAGAGGAAGCGGGGTCAGGAGTTTAAGGCCAGCCTTAAGTGCATAGAAAAATTTAAGGCTAGCCTAGATTACATGAGTTCCTGCTCAAAAAACCAAAAGTCAAAACCAAATCAAAACAAATAAGCAAGCAACCATCATCACCAAAACCCCAAAAGCAAACGCAGGCCAAGCAGTGCTAGTGGCTATGAGTTCAGTCTGTCGTCTCGATTGTGTGTGTGAGCTCAGAGGATGACGTGCCAGAACTGGTTCACTCCCTCCACCATGTGTGTTTTGGGGATGGAACTCAGGATGGCAGGCTTGACAGCAAGTGCTGGACCATCTCACTGGCCAGATATTATAAGTTAAATTTTTTTTTTTGAGACAGGGTCTTATAATGTCCCTGACTGGCCTTGAACTCACAGAGATCTGCCTGTCTCTGCCTCCCAAGTGCTGGGATTAAAGGTGTGCAGACTATACCCAACTGAGGCTGTGGTTTTAAGTAAGTCAGAGATAATGTTTTTATGGTAATTCACAACACGCAGTACTGCGGAGACAGGGAAAATACATCTGTAGGCTGGTTACTGGGCACAGCTTTCTTGTCTGTGAGCTGACAAGGGTCAACACACAATCCTGCTGGTACCACTCCCTTTCTCTTGGTTCAAAGAAAGCACAGGAACAGAGGGCTAGGAGAATCAGGACAGCGGGTCTCAACCTTCCTATCCCTGCAACCCTCTAATACAGTTCCTCACGGTGTGGTGACCCTCAACCATAAAATTATTTTCATGGCTACTTCATAACTGTAATTTAGCTACTGTTATGAATTATAATAATGTAAATCTCTATTAAGCGACCTATGTGAAAGAGTTGTTTGGCCCCCATAGGGATCGTGATCCCCAGGTTGAGAACAACTGTGGCAGGAGATGCCACCAGACTTCCACACCACACAGCTCTCCATGTGATACTACGAAAGGAAACAAGCCGGCTCTGGCCACCTGAAGAGGCCTTGGCACGGCTGTCTTCTCGCCTGCCTTCTGGAACGTGCAGACGAAACCACCTTGGAGCCAGCGGTGGCACTGGACCTGGGCTCTTCTGCTTGCAGAGCCCTGGAAAAGCAGACCGAGTGTGAGGTGAGAAGGGCAGCTTGTGAAGCCGTCAGCTCTGACGGCTGGCGGGCAGGAGCCAAAGTTGCTCATTACTAAATTTATCATCTGCCCAAAGTCATACCGCAGAGCAGGAAGCAAGCCCACCCAAGCGAGAAGCAGGCCAGGCTCCCTCCGGTGTCCCCTGAAGAGGTCACTGTCTCTCACGCTCTGACGTGTGAGCCTTTGTGCTACTTCTGCAGAGTAGATCAAGAAACAAGCCTGGGCCCACAGAAGCTGTCAAAGTCGCAGAAAGGAAGAAAACTCGGGCATTTTCACACTATGAAAGCATGGCAGAACCCCTGTCTGCAGGTATCGGGGTGAAGGCAGACCCCCTATATCTACCAACAAATGCCAGATGCAAGGAGTGTCTTCATTCCATGTCTGAAGGAATCCGCCCCTTGAAATCCATTAACCTCGGGAGTTTGCTCAGATCTCCAGGGTTCTAACAGAAGCCATCATCTCTTGAGGGATCCCTTGCCTTGAACTAACTTTCTGCAGAAATGTCCCCACTACTCTGACATACCCTCCCGACAACCAGCATAAATCCGTGCTCTCTGAATGGGAACTCACAAGCAGGTCTGTCATTCCGATGTTTAACCACAAGGGGTCACCATTTCCCTAACAGTGACAGGACCGACCACTGGAAAAACCCAAGATTGCAACCCTGATGAGTCTGTCTGGTCACATCGGACTCTTGACAATCTGTCTGCAAACGCTGGGGCAGCTTTGGGTTACGTTCATTCATAAGCTTTTAGTGAGGATGAAGGTTTTGGGAGCAAGGTCACGGTGTGGTAGGCTCTGGTTTAAGTTCAGTGTTCTTAGAAGCACCCCACTCCTGCTCCAGTCCTTCCGCAGAGCAGGAAATGCACGAACCTTATCACAAGATTAAATATTTGTAACGAATGTATTCCCATTCTTACCCACTGCCCAATTTCCAATTCTCTTACAGACACAGAGCGTTTGTTTGGTTTATTACCCCATAATACTCTCCCACGAATGGTTCATGTTGTGACTACCATTTGTGGCTTGCTTCTTTTTAAAGTGCCTTAAAAATGGACAAAACCCACAAGGAAACCCAGGGTTTTGTCTAACTAGTTTACTGAAAAGAAACAAAATTAAAAATAAACAAAAATTTTCATTTTCAAAGTAGTTTAAATTTAATCTTTTTTCTATGTTGGTTAATACATTTTTTGAATTATTGCTTAATTGTCTTAATAAATCCAAAGTTCTAAAAGTTAAGAAAACTTGTAACCTATTAAAATGGTGACCCAGCTTCTTGTTAGTTTATAGCACACATACCTTGGCTTCAGGCAGCTTATCTGCCTGGGAAACCTGTGTTCTCGCGTTGATGCGAGAAGTAGAGCCCACTCTGCCACTGCGCTTTAAAACCACTCTCTGCAGAAACCCCATTGAGCGTGGGTGAAAGGCTGTATCCATGCTGTTTATGGTTCTGCGTAATCTGGGTCGGCTAAACCCAGCTGAGGATTGCAGGGCTCTGTGGGTATCGGCTATTTGCACCCCTGGTACAGGTGCCTCAAAGTATGCAAACGCTACAGACTTTAAACCATAGCACTGCATGTAAGTCAGCATGGCCCTGTGCAATTTATCGTCCATCCAGTATAGCTGCCCAGCCTCTGAGATCAGGCGGGATAGGGCTTGTTCAGAATGCTAAGGCCATACACTGCTCTTGGTGAGCAGTTTCGCCTCATTGGGAGGAGGCTGTGCCGTCAGTGGGTCCCGGGAAATGGGACATCCCAGGCTCACCAGTGCCGGGAGCCTTACTGTGTGTGAGCAAGTCTCTGAGAGCAGAGGATGAGGCCAGGAGCTGTGTGCTCAGTGGCCAGGGTCCCAAGTGAGTGTAACGCACCTGAGTTCAGTCTTGTGAATCTCAGCGATTTTCTTTTCCAGTTTCTCTGAATGCTTTGGGAAAAATTGGAACTTGGAGCTGTAGCCCTCAGGGTGCTTTCCTGGGTCGTAATCCCCAATCTCCGCTTTTCAAAGGCAGGAAAAAGAAAAAAGAGAGAGAGAGAGAGAGAGAGAGAGAGAGAGAGAGAGAGAGAGAGATTAACACACAGCTCAGAGGCCAAACACAGGCAGACACTGGCAAGAGGGCAGGCCCCCAGGGAGCAGATGTGGGTCTTTTTCCCCCCTGCTGTACAATGGGTTGACATTCAAGTCAAAGCAGAAACAGTAGAGCCGGCCCTGTGCTCTGAGGTCACTAGTAAATTTGCAATAAAAGAGCAGAAGCCTGTTCTATGATCCTCAGTGGTTCAGCCACACGGGAAGGCTTGGAAGCCATGCTCGGCATGGTAGCAGCAAACAGTGAGCTTGGTCAGAAAGACAGGCCCTCCTGTGCCCCAGGTTAGACACCTAAACCCCATCCTGAAGACTTGAGAAGGACAAGAGAAGTTGCTGATTGAGTCTTGATCCCAATTTAGGACTCAGCCCTCACACGCGGAACCAGATGAATACATTCGGTGTTCATGGCGGGCTTACCAGGTAGGCCTGCCACTGGGAACATGGCTATGACCCAGTGACCGTGTGCAGGCACACCAGATCCTAAGGCTGACTTTCCAATGCTGTGTCCAGTGCCACGCCTACAAAGCTCATCTCTACGGCTGTGGGACCTCTGGGAGCTCTTATGGACACTGTCTTTCCTCAATGCTCTCCCAGTCAGAAGTCAGCTTCCTCCACGCACAGTGCCCCACCCAAAGGGAAGCTCAGAAAAGAAAAGAGGAGCTCCCGGCAGCTTGCTGGCCATCCCCCTTCCTTCTCTTGGAGAGCCAGAAGCTCTTCAGCGGAGGCAGCATGAATGTTGGGAAGAAAACAAAGCCTGGGTCACAGCTGAACACAGCGCTTTGGGTTTGTGGATCCCACTGCCAATTGTGGCTTCTTCCAAGTTACTCGGGGCTGAGGGCGGTAGTGGTGGATGTCTGGAGCCTCAAGTCCTGGAGAGTCTAAGGCAGGAGGCTCACCTGAGCACCTGAGCCCAAGAATTCAAGACCAGCCTGGACAGCATAATAAAACCGTATGTCCAAAACAAAACAAATCAAAACAAACACAAACCTAACCAAATTTCAAATTCTGTGGCAATTTCTGTTGTTTAACGAGGGATCTCATTCCTTCAAGGATGAGTGACCCTGAACCTTGAGATCATTCACTTTGATTTTATCTGAAAAGCTTCAAGGGGAAAATACTGATACTGGCTACTAAATACTTTTTGAAAAAAATAATTTGATATAATTATCAGGGTGAACCTGATGAGAAGACTAGAGTTTAAAAGTACAGAGCATCTTCCTCTTTAAAAAAGAAAGGAGGACTCTTTGGGTACCTCAGGCCATACACGCAATGGCTGCACTTCCCATTGACTGGTACTGAAACGGCACTCTCAGAGCCGGAGCTCCCCCCCCAATAGGCTCACTCTGCCCTCTTAGCGCTGCTCCGATACTTCTCCTGCCAGCGAGCTCTCAGCAGACTCTTCTTAAGTTGCTTCTGAGAGTTGCCTGATTCACAATCAAGGGTTCACGTTTTTAATGGAAACTTCACGGTTTTAGGCCCAAAGATCCTGTTGTTAACGACAGTTTCAGGGTGGAGGACTAAGAAGATTCCGAAGAGCGGCACTGGAATGTCCTCAACATCTTCTGAGAGAAGGGTATGACAGGTCCCACATTTCACGACAGGTTCCTACGGCCACTCTGGGAATCGGCAGCAAGAGGCTCGACTCTTCCGAAGGAAATGGCTTCTCACTTGAGAATCCTTGCGACACTGAGCCCTCTCGGTGGAGAGGTCTACACAACAGATGCCAGAGCCCTACCACGCTTTATACCTTGGTGATTTGCATGAGAGGGCCAGAGCGAGCGATTCTGAGTGTTCTTCAGCCGCACAGAAACACTAGCGTGCAAGGAACAGGACAAGTCTCTGGAGGCCGAAATGACTCAAGGGGGCTAGCTGTGAGACCGTGGGTGCAGGAGGGCTCTGGACTTTTTGGCTCTAGACAACCCAGGCCAAATCCTTTAACTTGCTTCAAGTTAGAAGCTGTTTTGATCTAAGAAGTTGTCATCTGTGGTAAATGGGATAATGTAATCAGGACTTAGCGTGAAAAGCAAATTTATCCTGTCCAAAGTCATTACCTTGAAGGATATAGGCTGCTAACAAGGCGGCATCCGATGTCTTACAGAGGAGACGGCCATGGTAGAGATCCCTTTTGATCTGCAGGAAGACTAAGTACCTGCGGAGAAAACAGAGAATGAAATAGAAAGGATTGCTTTGATTGCTTTAAAGGCATAAATATGTAATAGAAGCCTATCAGAATCTTTGTCAGGGCATCCTTCCTACATCAATTTTTTTTTCATACCATAGAACAAATACATTTTCCATTTCCTTGCAGGCTCTCAGGTACTTTGCTCTGAACTATTAATTGTTTAAGGTTCAGATCAAAACAACCTGTCAGTTTTCTCTCTAGCTCAACATAGACATATCACTCCCTGGTAAAAGCACTTCCCCCTAACATCTCCCCATCCTTATCGCCCCTCCCCGCTGCCACCAAAGTGCTGGCATCTGGAGGGAACCAGCCCCCTGCCAGTGTGATACAATCAAGAAAAACTGTGCTATCAGGGATGGGGAAATAGGGCCTTCCATGGTCTTCAAGTGGAATGGTGGGAGAAGGGGAGAGGTTAGCCTGGGCTTGGTGTTAGAATCGACCCCCCCCCCCGTAGATTATTGGCAGAGGTCAATTAGATCTCTTCAAATCCAAATAGAAAGGGAGAAGTGAGGGGCTGGAGAGATGGCTGCTTGGTGGTTAAGAGCATATACTACTCATGCAGAGGACCTGAGTGTGATTCTCAGCACCCGTGTTGGATGGTTCACACAACCCGCTGGTAACTCCAGTTCCAGGGTATTCGACATCTTGACATACTGCAGGTACCTGCACTCACATGTGCGCTCGTGTGTGTACGTGGGCGCCAGTATGTGTGAGTGTATGCACGTGTATGTGCACCTGCGCATGCTCCCAAGTATTTAAAAACTGTGGAACGTGGCACTCATGTAGGAACACAGAATGTGTACGTGAGATGAAGCAAGGCACCGAGAGCAGGAGCCAGGCCCTGCACTAAGTACCTGTCTGCTGGGGCGGACACTGCATGACTCACATCTAACATCTCATGTAACTCTTACACAACACTTTGAAACAGGCACTATTATTTCCTCCACATTTTCCAGATAAAGCCGAGGCGTTAGTGGATTTCTCGCAGGCACAAATAAATGGTTAAGATCCAAATTCACGACTTCAGGACTTCTGGCCCTGGTTCTTTAGTACCGCGTTATGCTGCCCTTTGAGACTGCAGCTGTTCTGTAGTTTCTGAAGCCGGAGGACAGCCCGACACAGTGGGGTAGAGCTGACCGCTTTCTATTGGGAAGCGTCTTTCCCAAGAGTGCTGAGAGATGACCACACACTCTCACAGGTCGGCCAACAAGAGCAGACCCAAGGCTACGAGGCACATCGGTTCCCTGGGTGGGTCCTCTCTTGGTGGCCAGGAGGCACCGGTGGTGGTTTAAAAATACACCCACTGATCCTTCACACACTACATTTCATGGAATACTGATGAGTTCTCACCTCTTGAAGGGGCTGGCCTTAGTGATTTGTTGGGAGTAACAGAACCACACAGAAGCGGTTGTCTCGATTGTCTCGTCAGAGTCTGCACAGCTGAGGATACTTACATAGCCCTACAGCAAGGCCCACAGGGAGGAGGGACACTTCTGCCAACAGTCACATGAAGACCCTCAGATGAATAAAGTCCCTGCTAACCCATGACTGGTCCTGAGCCAGAAGCTCCCAGCAAAATTGCCCCTGAACTCTCAACCCATAGACGTTCTCGATGACTTGTTATTTTAAGCTAAGGTTGATGGTACTTTGTTGGGCAGCCACACATGACTATGGCATCCCTGGGAGAGCAAGGAGTCATGGAACTGTAGCAGAAGGTCCTTCAGTTCCACCAATTTCCACCGGCAGAATTTAGGGCCTCCTTGGATAACCGGTTTCCTCTGGTTTATATTCAGTCTGAATTACATGTCCAGCTAATCATGTAAAAATGCCCACAGAGAGAGAGAGCGCCATCGACAGGGCAACTTTTGGAGGAAGTAGGGAGTGAGTTCTGGGCTTAGAGAATGGAGAATCAGTTAAGGAGCAATCTAGCCTCTTCTTGGGTCTTGCTACTCCAAGTATATCCCCCACATCAGCAATATTGGCACCATTTGGAGCCTGCACTTTTTTTTTTAACCAAGATCCTCATATGACTTGCATAGAGGAGGCAGAGTCCAAGAAATACAAAAGAATCCCCGTGACCACATCAATACACGGTACCTCCCTGAAACCAAAGGCCAGGTGAAGATTTCCGCCTGGGAGTTTGTAAGAGCCATTTCCCTCCTCAAACAAACCCACTCAGCCCTAACATTTGTCAAGAAAAGCTGGCGCCATGCAGAGTGAATAATTACGATGGATCTATCAAATCCAGCTTGCCTGCACTCTGCTTCCCACAGTGAAATGCCACACGGTGAGTGGGAGAGGCGAGCGAGCACTTCCCTGCCTCTCACTGTTCCGACTCCCACCTTCCACAGGTTTTGGCAGGATGCGGATACGACCTTTGCCCCTAACTCATTGCTCACTTCCTGGGCTCAGATTCACATATCATTCTGCTCTCCCATGACTGAAAATCTGGGACAGGATATCCTGGATGGAAGGCGATGTTTCAAACAGCACCCACAGATCTGGGTGGTGATTCTCTATGTCACAGACCCTGCCCTCCAAGAAGGCATATCAGAGGTACTCCTGTGGTTTCTCTAGAGTTTCTGGCCCCTGCTGGATGCAGAGTGCCAGCCTTCCTCACATACAGGACTGCTGCTTTGCTATGGATGGGCCCGTGGCAGATGTCTAGGGTGAGCTGGAATGTGCATAGTTCTCTGAGGCTATAGGACAGCTGTAGGCAGATCGAGGGGAAGGCTATAGACACTCTCAAGCAATGCCATGGCACAGAGGGAGGCAAAGATGGGCAAATTACAACCTAAAGAAAGCGAGTCATTAGAGAGCAGGAGGAAATGAGCTCACTGAAGGACCCTCGGATGTCTTCACGAGGTACCCCTTGATTTTCTGCCACGGTGGTGTCCAGAAAGTTTTGGGTTGATAGGGTGCTGGAACTGTACCCCACAGGCTCATAGCGTTGTTAGACCTGCTCCCACGAAACTCTGCTGTACTCTCACCCACAAGGCCGCTGCGGGTAATCTTGTTGCATGAAGCTCTGTCATCAAGGCAATTGTGTGTTGCCAGATGACAACCAGGCCTGTCCAGCACAGCCAGGTGCCATTGCTTCTCAGAACCAGAGGTAAGAAACAGAATTCCCTTGACTTGTGGCAGAGGAGACAGATATCCAGAGATGTGGCCTGACTTGGTTGGTGTTATCCACTAGTCACAATTCAGGCCTCTGATTCTGGACCCGGTACTTTTCTACCCCGTGGTAATTCATTTAGCTCTCAGAGGAGAGAGAATTGTCCTAAATTATATACACACACAAACACAATTATTTATTATATATATTATATACATGGGCTGGAGAGATGGCTCAGTGGTTAAGGATGCTTGCTGCTCTTTCAGAGAACCTGAGTTCAGTTTCCCCAAGGCTGCTGGATGGCATTTCAGTTCCAGAGGATTCCATGCTCACTTCTGGTCACTTCTGGTTTCTGTGGGCATATACACACACTTTTTTTTTTTTTTTTGAGACAGGGTTTCTCTGGGTAGCTTTGGCTGTCCCGGATCTCACTTTGTAGACCAGGCTGATCTCGAACTCATAGAGATCTACCTGCTTCTGTCTCCTGAATGCTGGGATTAAAGGCATGCACCACCACAGCCTGGATACACACACTCATTTGTAAAAAAGATTTTATATTTTACTTCTGTGTGCATGTGTGTTGAGGTTAGAGGGCAGCTTGTACGAGTTGGTTCTCTCCTTCTACTCTGTGGCCAGGGACTGAACTGTGGGTTTGTCAGCAAGTGCCTTTGCCTGCTGGACTGCATGGCTGCCTCCACCTTGTTTCTGGGGGCAGGGCTCTCCTGCTGCTGCTGTGCTCTCAGGTGTGCTAAACTCCCCCCTGCTGCTGCGCTCCCAGGTGAGCTGAGCTCCCAGCCCTGCTGCTGTGCTCCCAGGTGAGCTGAGCTCCCATCCCTGCTGCTGTGCTCCCAGGTGAGCTTCCATCCAGTCCTCCCCCTCTTGTGTTAGCAGGGCTGAGCCTGGGGTTTCAGACCTCAGGAATCTGGGTCACTGGGGTTGCTCAGCAAGTGCGGTTACCCACTGAGCTATCTCACTGGCCTGTGGTTTTTTTCTTTGTTTCTTTTTTTAAGGTTTGCTTGTCTCCTTCTGTCCTTCACAAGGCCAGGAACCTCACAGGTACTAGACAAAACACACGAGGGCACGGAAGGCAGTTAAGTCCTCTCACAGTTACATACAAAGGAAGAGGAGACGGGGGACTAAAGCTAGCAACTCTCCATGTCTGCGCGCACACCGTGCCCTGCACTCTACTGTTGCACACACACTTCCTCAGTCACGCCTCCAGTAACTCCCATTTCTATCCCATTTCCACGTACGAGGAAACTGAGAGCCGAGAGGTCCAGCTGCTAGCCTTGTCTCAGAGCTAAAAAATCAGCCAAGATTTGATCCAGATCTTCCTGATACCCTAGCCAGGGACTGGCAAGGAGGACCCACTGCCACGCTTTCTAACGGAATCAGGTTTCGCTGGAACATGGCCTTGCTCACTCATTCATGCATCATCTACGGCTGCTTCCGAACGGCACTGACAGAACCGAGTCGTTGTGACTGAGACCATATGGTTCCGAAAGCCCAACACACGTACTTTCTGTCCCTTTCCAGAGAGCTTTGCCAATCCATGTCAGCCTGATGGAGGCTCGGAGAATATTCACTGAAAGAGTAAATGACTGGGGCCTCTGTGTGTTGAAGTCCACATTCATCCACTCTTTTGGATTCCTCCACCTGTTGGCGTGTGCCAGGCCTCTGCCTCGTGGTAAGGTGTGGTTGTGCCCGTTTCCTTCTGATACTCGATTTCTCAGACTGCAGTCCCTGATAAAAGCTAAATGGTGCCTAGCTCTCCATTTTCTTGGCACCATTACCAGTCTGGACAAAAAAAAAAAAAAGCTATTATTATTTAAAGAGAAAAATGACAAAGAAAATTAATGAGGACTTGGAAACTAAATTTGTCCTGTAGGAAGGACCAATGGCAAAGTGAAGCAGAATTCCTTTCTTAAAAAACGGATGCTCAGTTTCTTTTTTTAGTATTGACTTATTTTTATGTGTGTGGATGTTTTGCCTGCCTATGTCACTGTGTACCATGTATGTGCAGTGCCCTCAGAGGAGGGTGTTGGATTCTCTAGGACTGGAGTTCTACATGGTTGTGAGCCACCATGTGGGTCCTTTGGAAGAGCAGTCAGTGCTCTCAACTGATGAGCCTTCTCTCCAGCCCCCAGAGAAGAGTTCTTTACTCTACAGCTCATCCCCTCCTTAGCCTCGCTCCACAGGGATGGTTGAGATGACAGTGAAATTTAGACTCAAGATTGCCAGGGGAAAAAAGATGACACATTGACAGCTAAGTTAGCTTGGCACAAGGTGGGCTGTTGGGAGGAAGGGCTCAGAGCCAGCAAGGAATTATGGGTACTGAGTGAGGCTGGGGCAGGTACCCACTCTCTCAAGGTCAGTAGGGATGTGAATAGGAAACACAGAGCTAATTCTATGGCTTCATGGGACGTACCAGGGAGGGTCGAAAACTGCAAATCAGGCCAGGCACCCCACAGTTGGTACCACCCACAATGTCAGAAAACTGCACTCTGGAGAAGGAATGCCGGCCAGGTAAAGATGGAGGGGAAACGGTCTCAGGTGGTTCGTGAGGACGCATGCAGATGGCGGAGGCGCTGGTGCACTTGCCACTGTCCTTTAAGTCTGCTGACCTGGTGAGAGGTCTGGTCATGATTCCAGTGCTATGCTGACATGGACCATGTAAGTAGTTCAGCAGGGAACACACTGAGCCTTCGCTCGGTGAAAGGCTCCCTGGGGACTGGAAGCATACCCAGAAATAGAAGACCCTCCACTGGGCATGGTGACACAGGCTGTAATCTCAGCACTAGGGAGGTGGAGGTAGAGAATCGTGAGTTCAAGGGCAGCTTAGGCTCCAGAGTGACATTCTCAAAAGAACCTAAGTCCAAACCGAGCCTTGTCTGTATTTATTATCCAACATATCTGTGAAAATACATGCTTATTTTATTTATATGTCTAATTATTTGGTTTTGTGAGCTAGGGATCTTTTTGAAAATAAAAAGTTTAAATAGTTCCATACAATATACAATATGTATTTACCATATCCACCCATGACCACATCCTTCCAACTTCCCCTGGGCCCACATTTAAGGCACAGTCTTAGATAAGCCTGACTGGCCTTAAATTCTTTCTTTCTTTTTTTTTTAATTTAAAAAGTTTTTATGTGCCCATGTGTTTTGCCTGTATGTGTGTCTTTGCACCAGATGTGTGCTTGATACCCAAGGAGGTCAGATAGGGCATCAGATCTCCTGGAGCTAGAGTTATAGATGGTTGTGAGCCACTATCTGGGGGGTTAGGAGTTGAACCTGGGACCTCTGGAAGAGTAGTCAGTACCACTGGGCCATCTCTCCAGCCCCTAAATTTTCTTTTAAAAAATATTGATTTTTCTATTCTCTCTCTCTTTGTATGTGTGTGCACATGTGTGTTCATGTGCCTTTGGAGGATGAGGTGTCAGATCCTCAGGAGCTGAAGTTACAGACAGTTGTGAGCCACCTGATGTGGCTGCTGGGAACCAAATGCAGGTCTCTGCGAGAGCAATGTGTGCTCTTGGTCTCTGCACTATCTCCTTGGCCCTGACCTCATCTTTTCTACATAGCCAGAATGACTCCTCATCCTTCTGCCTCCATCTCCCAGCTGCTGGGATTATAGGCATGGGCTACCACACCTGGTCTGAAATGATTTTTGTTTTTTAAACAAAGAATAAGGAGAAGGATGACTGTGATGATGACAAAAAGGAGGAGGAGGAGGAAGAAAATGAGGGTTGGAGAGATGACTCAGTGGTTAGGAGTACAAGTTACACAATCATGAAAACTGGCATTTAGAGCCCAGCACCCATATTACAAGACAGTCTGCTTGTAACTTTAGCACTGAAAGACCTGGCAACCTATTTTTGTCTCTGTATGTGAGCAGGCATGTACTAACCCACACACTTGTATATATACTCATGTATACACACATGCACACATGCACACACACACTAATTAAAACAAACCAAAAGAGGCTAACAAACTGGTTAATCATCTCAATGATTTTCAGAATTAGATATTACTCTCCTCATTCTGTGAGTTGTCCAAAGGTCAGTGAGGGTGAATAATGTATGGCCAAGCCCTGCAGTCAGGAAGGAACACAAACTGGACTTGAGTCACCAGGTCTATGTGGCTTCTTGGTAAGGGGTTAGTATGTTAAGACAGTTACATTCGATTTAAAAAAACTGGATGATGAGCTCCTAACAGCCCAGAAAAAAATATTAGAAAGTCCCATGTCTAAGCGCACTCACCAAATTACTAGACCTTTCAGCCCTACTGTTGTGGTAAAACACTGCAGGTCCCCGAGTGGCGGCAGCGGGCACGAGGCCACCATTACAGCTACTGTGCAGCCAATGACACGGAGAACAGGCAATGCAGGAGGTGGCAGGAGGCGAGGAGCTGGCTTTTAACAAAAGTGCTAAATTTGGTCAGGTAGTGGTGGCGCACACCTTTAACTCCAGCACTCAGGAGGCAGAGACAGGTGGATATCTGTGATGTTGAGGCCAGCCTGGTCTACAAATCGAGTTCCAGGACAATCAGGGCTACGCAGAGAAACCCTGTCTCGAAAAACAAAACAAATAAACCAACAAAGAGTGTTTAGTTCAGTGTGACCTGGACAAGAGTGGACAGGGGCTGCTCCAGCGCTCTCAGCAGGGAGAAGGGGGCTCAGGTCATGAGGGACAGTAGTGTTTTGACAAAAGACCTCTTATTCAAGTTGGTAAACATAGCGGTCCTGTCTCCATGGACCTGTCTGAAACTACAGGCTGCGCACTAAGATGGTGGCAGTCACTCTGTCTCGTGAAGATGACTGGAACCCACAGTTCTCACACCCACATCACCGGCCTCTGTGCTTTAGAACTGGCAGGTGCACACAGCTCTGCCCACCTGCAGGAAGCCTTCCTGGTCTTGACTCCAGAAGATTCTCCTCGACCCACGGCGGACTCCATGTGAAGCCACTTGCTTTCCTCCCTGACACCTTCCTTGTTTTCTCTATACTACTTCCTGTTTTCTCTGCATTACTTTCTGTTTCTCATCCTCCCTTTCCCGATTTCCCTTTGGAGAGAGCCCTCCATTCCTTTCACCGGACATCAGCCAGCAGCTTGCTTTTCCGCAGTAATGAAAAGGATTCTGCATTCCCTCTTCTATTGTTTCTTTGGGATTTTAAAGTAGTTCAGGATCCAGAACAGATCTCGAGGCTGTATGGGACAAGTGGTCTATATGATGGCCATCACCTCTTTCCTGACTTTGCTTTCTCCAAGGCAATGGGGAGGGGATTAGAGTCGTCAGTGCCATTTCCTTCCTCAATGGTCATCAGGGTTCTGCTGATGACAAATAAAGGACCCTAGCAGCACAGAACTTCTGAATCTTATCATGAGTCTGGTTTAGATGCACAAAGCCCCAGGGAGCTGGGCTGATCCTATTCACGGACTCTCTTGCAGGGTGGCTGTGGGCTAGAGGTTTTTCCTCGTTCTCCAGGGGATGAGGGCTCACAGTACACCCCAGGATATGATTCTCACAACGAAGAGAATTTCAAGTGTCTGTTCCAACAGCATGCTAGAATCTACTCGCTTGGATTTAGAGTCCCAATGTTTTTCACCTTGCCTTCCATGTCCCATCTTGGTATTTCCCACGTATATCCTTTGAACTACTGGATACTCTTTCCAAGCCTGAAATCAAGCAGCAACACAGCTGGCTCCAAAACCATCAGCAAAGCGACATTTTAGGCATGAGAAAGAACACCATTGAGCAAGTAGTTACTCCAGATCCCTCGTAGAGTGACCAATTAGAGACTCACAAGAGGGAATTCCTGCTGTTCCACCTCCAGAGGCGGGGCGTAAGGAAAGTGGGAGGCAAGAATACACAGAAACAGGCTGTCTCTAGGAAGCATCCTCCAAAGAGTCAGGCATGTCCAAAGCCACAGTTCCCACCCTCCCCCACGGGCCGCTTTCCAGTCTCACCTGGTTATCTCTTCCTTCAGAGCAGCAGGGTCCGCAGGGTAGAACTTCACCCGGAAGCACATGGTAAACGGAGGCTGGGCTGCAGGAAAAGGCGCCTGTTAGGAGAGGCCCTCTCGAGGAGACGATTGTGCTCCCCTCCTGGCATGCACAAGCCCCTGAACCATAGGGGGAAAAAATCCCTTTGTGGGGGCTTGACAGAAGGTTCAGCATTGGGAGTGCTAGCTGAGGACCCAAGTTCAATTCCCAACACCCACATGTTAGTTTGTAACCATCTGTAACTCCACCCCATGTTAGTTTGTAACCATCTGTAACTCCAGGTCCAGAGGACCTGATGTCTTCTTCTGGCCTTCTTCTTCTGGTACCAGGCACACATATGGTGCACATACATACAGAATATATAAATAATACAAACATGTACGTTAAACTAAAAAAACCCTTTTGTGGATAGGGTCACCATATACTAGAACAGTGGCAAACTATACATGTAGACCAAGTCTTACTATCCTTGGGGGTTTCCTCCCATCCTCCCATGGTAAAGCTTAGATTCTTTATGAATACTCACATCTCAGTTGCTTCACCACTGACTTTGTAAACTCCAACCAATGCTGAAACAGAGAACACAGACAAGACAATGCTCGTGAGAAGTAGGGTCACAGGAAAACTGTTTTATCCGACTGAAATGGCGAGAAGATGCAATCTGCCCGGAGGAAAAGCAACCCCAAAGCTTATGAAGAGAAGTTTGGAAAGGGAGGTGGTATTCTGAAATAAACATCCATGAGGAACCAGCTGTGAAGGGGAAAATCGTTCCTGCTTCAGGTGCCATTCCCAGGCTTCCAGGAGACACCTCCCAAAGCAGGGTGCTGGAGCTTTGAGCCCTGTATCTGGCAGGTCCACAGGCATGGGTGACTATGCATGTATGTATAGTGGGCTTAGTCCTGTTCCTGACAGGCTCACAGGCATGGGTGACTATGCATGTATGTATAATGGACTTAGTCCTGTTTCTGGCAGGTCCACAGGCATGGGTGACTATGCATGTATGTATAATGGACTTAGTCCTGTTCCTGGCAGGTCCACAGGCATGGGTGACTATGCATGTATGTAGAGTGGACTTAGTCCTGTTCCTGGCAGGTCCACAGGCATGGGTGACTATGCATGTATGTATAATGGACTTAGTCCTGTTCCTGGCAGGTCCACAGGCATGGGTGGCTATGCATGTATGTATAGTGAACTTAGTCCTGTTCCTGGCAGGTCCACAGGCATGGGTGACTATGCATGTATGTATAATGGACTTAGTCCTGTTCCTGGCAGGTCCACAGGCATGGGTGACTATGCATGTATGTATAATGGACTTAGTCCTGTTCCTGGCAGGCCCACAGGCATGGGTGACTATGCATGTATGTATAGTGGGCTTGGCTTGAGTAGGAGCCGCTGGACCTAACGCTTGGTGCGCACCGGCTAAATACCAGCTTCTTTTGGCAAACCAGGAAGGTGGAGGGTGTTGGTGGCAACTCTAAAAAGTTTTAACAAGAAGAGATTTCAGAGTGAAGAGGAGCTAGAGATGGCTGGTATGTGCTTCTTTTTTTCCCCCAAGAAACAAGTAGGCAATCCTTGTGTTACTCAGGTTTTTCTGGCATACTAGGGTGGTTAAAGTCTTAGTTTCTTTTTTTATTTATGTCTTTATTTTTTAAAAATATTTATTTATTATGTATACAATATTCTGTCTGTGTGTATGTCTACAGGCCAGAAGAGGGCACCAGACCTCATTACAGATGGTTGTGAGCCATCATGTGGTTGCCGGGAATTGAACTCAGGACCTTTGGAAGAGCAGGCAATGCTCTTAACCTCTGAGCCATCTCTCCAGCCCCCAAGTCTTAGTTTCTTGTGATAATTATCTGTTACCAATGTGTAGAATAGTATCCTGTCTCCCATGGGTGTTTATGGCTAGAATATAGATAACACTATATTTTTCACTCTCCCTCATGCCACTTAAGCTTGGGGGAAGGCAGCAATGAGACCATTCTAAATCTCTCTGTGTGTATTTGTGTATCCACGTGAGTGCATGTGCCCATGGAGCCTAGAAGAGGGCGTCAGACACCTGAAATCTAAAGTTAATGGTGGCTGTGAGCTGCCGATGTGAGAGCTGAGAACCGAACTTGGGTCATCTGGAAGAGCAGGAAACGCTCTTAATGGCTGAGCATCTCTCCCTAGCTTCAGCTCATTGTAGGTCAGTTTCTCAAATTTCTGTGGGTACTTTATAAAATTCATTACTGATGATTGTTGCCTTGACATTAAGCAAGTAACTTGCTGCTTGGTAGACAGAGAAAGATGCTATTATTTGGAGGTTGACCGCTGGGAGGTAGCTTAAAGATGCTAGCTGTAAGTTCCCTGAGGACAGGAACTGACTTGTTTGCCAAATAATTACCAGGGTAAAGTGTAGTTGTGGAATGGGCAAAGGGATGGGTTCCTCAGTGCCCTCTTTCCTGACTACTTCCGCTTAGTCTCAGCAGAGATCTACAGGAAAGAAGCCCAGGCCGTGTAGACAGAATCTTGGCCTCCCTCAGTTCCCAGCTTTCACCTTCTGGGCTGGGTTGTGGGTCATGTAGTTAATGGATCCACTAAGAGCTAATTCTGTCAGCTCCACATGGTTAATCTGGGCTGACATTCTGCTCTCTTGCTTCCTCTGATCCAAGCTCCCACGAGGCTGGCAACTTATTACAGCCACTCAGCATGGTTAAGAGGCCCTTCTCACATTACACGGCCCACCGCAGCTCTGCTTCGCAGGGAAGCCGAGGCTAGAGGGGCAATCGCACAGAAGCAGCTGGAGCCTGGAGCCTTGCCTGCGAAGGTGCAGGAGGCCTGTCTGGGTCAAAGCATGATAGGACTGTACAGCGAGGAGAACACAGCACACGTCAGGGATGCAGTAACAGAACACCCTACACTGACAGGTGAGACAAATAAAAGAAGATAGAAATGATAAGGAGTGGCTCAGACCTGTGGTCTGCAAAGGGAAGATGAGCCAAGTGACAAGGAGGCTCCTCCCCTTGGCAGTAGCGAGAGCCAGCCTTCCTCTGGACGGCCTGAGAGCTCAGGAGTGGACTGAAGTCGGAGAAAAGTTGTCACAGCTTGTCTGAGGGGCTTTAGGGATCCAGCAGAGAAAGCCTGAGATTGTTCCAGCAATATGGTGATTGAGTCCCAGAACGAACAGCAAACTGATAATGTGAGGTGAGACCAGGAAAAGAGGCAAGATTCAGAGGGAGATAGATCAAAGGGGAACAATCTTCACACTCTGAGGCTTAGAAGGGTGCAAAAAAGGTCGGAGGCTCAGGTTGAGTTGAAGCAGCAGGGCACAGCATGAGGCAGCTCCTCCACAAGAGAAGGATGGGGAGGAAGGAGCCCCAAGACGCTCAGTGAGCAAGTGGGGGGATTGAGAAGAGCTGTTGAGACCACCGTGGAGCCCAGGGGAGGAGATGCGCCTCACAACGCTGGGTACCTCTCCCACGAGTTAGTGGATTTAGGTAACATCATCACAGGCCGTTTAAGACCTCCCAGGACTCACAGGTCTCTGTAGTCCATGTTCCTTTTCTGAGGCCCAGACTCACCCCACTCTTAGTCTACCATGTGACTTCAGCATAACGCCTTGGAAACCACACAGTCGACAGAATCAGACCGCCCTCGCCACTTACCTTGGCTGGACAACCTGTCTTAATCTACTCGTCTGGAATCTCATCGCTTGCCTTAAGGATTGCAGGGTGGAATATGCATGGAACTCTTGGCTTAGCACCAGGTACACTTGGTGCTCAGTCTACAGGAGCCTGCAGCTAAGCTTAGCATACAGCAGACTCTCCAGAAAGGCCAAACATGTCTCCTCTTTCCCAATTGTCTTGTGTTTGCCCTCCTCTAATCTTGGTCCACTCCACATACCTCTGTTTCTCCTCAAGTGCATCCTGACCTAACTGAAGAATGAGCAACAGGACACATTTTGCCCTTTGACTTTGTATACCACAAGCTCTGGGGGAGATGAGGAGGTCTTGTTGTATATGCTCCCCTCTTTTTTTTTTAAAGGGGAGAAAGCTTAGCTCAAACAAACACTGTGTGTGCGGTATGTGCGCATGCACGTGTGTGTGTGTGTGTGTGTGTGTGTATGAAACCCATTATTTCTAGAGAATGGGCACACAAAGCAGCAAGGACAATTTCTTGCTATCCAGGCACTTTATGGGCTCACACTAAGGTCCGGAGCTAAGGGCATCATGTCAACAGAGCAGAGCAAGGAACAAACTTTGAGGGCCAATCTCCAAACTCTGATGTTGCTCACAGCTCACCCAGGCAGGGAGGGACGAGTTAAGCACATTAAGAGTTGGGCAAGGGCTAGTCAGAGGAAACCCACATGGTAGGTTTCCTAGAGTCTTTTAGAAAACTCACATCTTTGGTACACAACCCTAAACATGACCTAGAGGACAAAGTGGCTCAGACAAGCAAAGGACAAGCAGTATCTGACTGTGGCACGGTGAAGGGCACAGCCACCCAGCACCTATCATTCTGGGCAGTGTTGGGACACTGTGCCTTCTCAGTCTTCCAAGGCCCCTGACAATAGCAGAGACAGTCCTGTTTGGAGCCATGAAGGAAATCCTGGACCTGAGAAGGAGGGTCCTACAGAATTTATGAATTTTTGTAGGATTTGCGATGATGTCTTTGGAGAGCGGCAGATGAGCTGGGTGGTGGGTGAGTGAGCAGGAACATACAGGCTGCCTGTGGCTACACACTTTTCCACTTCCTAGGGATGGCAATTTGCACAGCCTCCAGTCAGCAAAGGGGCGATGAATCAAAGCTGCCGGCTGGGAAGGAAGGCGAAGGTGAGCATCGAGGCACCACAAATCATTAACGCATTCCTTCAGCAAATGCTTACTGAATGCCAACTGCATTCTAAGCCCTGCACCAGCTCCATGGGAGACAGTGATGGATGAGATGTAGTCTGCCTGCTCCCTTCTGGAACTTCAGCTTTTGTGGGAACAAAGGCCTTCATAACACAGTGCAAGAAGTGTATAAGGGGAGATATCAGAGGACATAGGGGCCAGAGGGGAACCTACAGCAGGGCCAGGGAAGACTTAAGTATGACAAGCTTTGGGGGTAGAGAGACGGTTCAGTGGTTATAAGAGCTTGTTGCTCTTGTAGAGGACCCAGGTTCAGTTTCTAGCACCCCTGCCAGGAAGCTCACAACTGTCTGCAGCTCCAACTCCAGGGAATCCAGCATGCTCTTCTGGCCACCGAGGGCACGGGCATACACATGGCATGCGCACACAGACAAACATATATACACATAAATAAAATAAAGATAGGTCTTCAAAAAAGAAAAGGGGGGCCAGGCAGTGGTAGCACACCCCTGCAATCCTAGCACTTTGGAGGCAGAGGCAGGTGGAGCTCTGTGAATTCGAGGTCAGCCTGGTCTACAAAGTGAGTTGTTACCCAGAGAAACTCTGTCTTGAAAAAAAAAAAAGAAAAGAAAGAAAGAAAAAGGGGTAGTCAGGAGAAAACTATGGAGTGTGGGAAAATGGGGAAAAGGAGAACTGAGGGCCGGAAGGCTGAAAAGGGAGACAGGTTGTCTGGAGTC